GGTGCTGAGCCTGGGGGTGCGGATCCCGGAGGTGCTCGTACTGGAGGCACTGGAGCTGCTGGGGCTGGAGGTGCCGAGCTTGCGTGTGCGGAGCCTGGGGGTGCTGAGTCTGGGGATGCGACGCCTGAGGGTTCTGAGACGGCTGTTACGCGGTCTCCTTGGAGTAGCCGTCTTCGTCCGCGTGTGCCTCTCACCTCACAGCAGCTGCACGACTGGTACGGTCGCCGTCAGGGTCGCGCTTCTGGAGCTCGGGGCTCTGCTGCTGGAGGTAGTTCTGCTGACGTCACTGGAGCTGGGAGTGGTGCTGGTCCTTTGTCTACTGGAGGTGCTGGATTCGCTGGTCCCGGAGGTGCTCGTACTGAAGGTACTGGAGCTGCTGGGGCTGGAGGTGCTGTGTCTGAGCGTGCTACTGCTGGAGACCCTGGGTCTGGGGGTGCTGCTGCTAGAGGCACTGAGGCTGGAGACCCTGGGACTGGAGGTGTCGGTACTGGGGGTGCTGCAGCTGGTGGAGCTGGTCCTGGAGGAGCTGGCGCTGAGGGTTCTGGAGCTGCTGGAGGTGCTGGAGCTGCTGAGGGTACTGGAGCTGCTGGAGGTGCTGGAGCTGCTGGTGCTGGTGGCACTGCACAGCCGCGCCTGTTCTTCGCTCCGCCGTCTCTGTCGTCTCAGCCACCGCCTGACTCTGCGCTTCGCCAGGTTCTCAGTCTCCCTTCGTCTACTGGTCTTCCGTTACAGCCTGGCTCACCGCTGCCTGCTCCTTCTCCGTACACTGAGCAGACAGGGGGACTTGCTGAGCGTCGTGAGCCTGCGTCGCGTCCTGTCTCGCCTGTCCGTTCTGGTCGTTCCGGTCGTCGTGTTCCTCGTCAACGTCAGCCGGCTGTCCCCGGCACCCACCTTGTAGTCCATCGTCCTTCCTCTCCTCCGCCGCGTGTTCCTCTGCCGTCTCCCCCTGCATCCTCTCTGCCTGACGTTGTCGACCTTGAGTCTGACCAGTTTCGGACTGAGCACCCTACTGTCACGCGTCTGTTAGCCACTGTTGTCACTGACCCGTCGTTTGAGTCCACTGCTGCGTCTGCCCTAGTCGCTGAGCTTGTCGACTTTGCTGCTGCCTGTCGTCTAGACTACGCTGCTAGTCTTGTTGCTGAGTCTGAGTCTGTCTGTCCTCCGTCCGTCGGGGATGAGTGTGCTCTTAGCACGGACGTCCTTGAGGACAGGCACGAGGACCTTGAGTGTCTTGCGGCCGCTGCGCCTCATCTCGTGGCCATGCTGATTGCCCCTGAGGGAGACCCGGATGCACCAGACATCCCGACCCCGCGCTCTTACGCTGAGGCGATCGCGGGTGAGTACTCTTCTTATTGGCAGACAGCCATGGACGCAGAGATGGCATCCTGGAAGTCCACAGGCACGTACGTCGATGAGGTTCCCCCTCCCGTGGCGAACATCGTCGACGGCATGTGGATTTTCAGGGTGAAGCGGCCGCCGGGTTCTCCGCCTGTCTTCAAGGCTCGTTACGTTGCTCAAGGCTTCAGTCAGCGACAGGGATTTGACTTCTTCCAGACCTTCTCCTCCACCCCGAAGATGACCACTCTTCGGGTGCTGCTGCATGTTGCCGCTCAGCGTGACTACGAGCTTCACTCTCTTGACTTCAGCACAGCTTTCTTACAGGGCAGCCATCACGAGGAGATCTGGCTGTGCCGCCCGCCTGGCTTCACTGGGTCGTTCCCTCTGGAGCCTCCGTCGGCTGGTCTACGGTCTCCGCCAAGCGCCTCGTGAGTGGCACGACACACTGAGGACGACGCTTGCGGCTCTTGGGTTCGCCCCTTCCACTGCTGACCCGTCGTTGTTTCTGCGCACCGACACTTCGCTGCCGCCGTTCTACATCCTCGTGTACGTCGACGACTTGGTCTTTGTCACTGCTGACACTGAGGCTCTCGCTCTGGTGAAGTCGGAGCTGTAGAAGAGACACACGTGCACAGACCTGGGTGAGCTGCGCAGTTACCTTGGCTTGCAGATCACCCGGGACAGAGCACGCCGCACCATCACACTGACTCAGTCACACATGGTGCAGCAGGTCCTTCAGCGCTTCGGCTTCACCTGGTCCTCGCCTCAGGCCACTCCTCTGGCTACAGGTCACTCGCTCTCAGCTCCACCTTCGGACGAGTCTGTAGAGCCGAGTGGTCCTTACCCAGAGCTAGTTGGCTGCCTCATGTACCTGATGACCTGCACTCGTCCTAACCTCGCGTACCCTCTTGGCCTTCTGGCTCGCTACGTGGCTCCTGGTCGGCACCGAAAGGTGCACATGGATGCTGCTAAGAGGGTACTACGCTACTTGTGCAGTACATCGGGCATGGGGCTCGTGCTTGGAGTACGGGGCGACGTTGTCCTCACTGGTGACTCGGACGCTTCTTGGGTTGACGACCAGGCTACGCAGCGGTCGTCACAGGGTTACACCTTCAGCCTTGGCTCTGGTTCAGTTTCTTGGCGTTCTACACGCTCGTCTTCAGTTCTCAGCTCCAGTTGTGAGGCTGAGATCTACGCCACAGCCATGGCTACACAGGAGTTACGCTGGCTCACCTACCTGCTGACCGACCTGGGAGAGCGGCCTCGTTCTTCTCCAGTGCTGTACGTCGACAACAAGGCCACCATTGCCTTGTGTCAGGAGCACAGACTGGAGCACAGACTGGAGCACAGACTGGAGCACAGAACGAAGCACATCGCTCTGCGCTACTTGGTCAGCTTCGTCTTGCTCACGTGGCCACTCGGGCCAACACTGCTGATATATTCACCAAGGCACTTCAATCTGGTGATCATCAGCGTTTCTGCACTTTGTTAGGCCTTGTGCCCACGTTTCCTCACTTGTTGTAGACTTTGCTTGTACTGTGATGTATATATATACCTGCATGCTTGCTCTGCTAGGTAGAGATCACTGTGCTATTCTTGTTGCATATGTATCTCAGCATGTGAACTGGCCTTGTGGCCTCTTGCTTGTGCTCAGTGTGTGTGGTGACGTTGTGATCCACCCTGAGCTTGCTTTGCTTCTCTTGACTGGTCTTGTGACCCCTTGTTCTCCCCCACTTTGCCTATGGGGGTGTGTCAAAGTATATGCATGTTATATATATGTAGGCTGTAGTGGGGTATCCAATATGGGGTACAGCCCCTTTTAGGGTTTTAAACTTGTACCCAACTCTTTCCCAGTTGATTCATTTCCTGTCTCTAGATTCTAACAGAAAGAATGATCGCATAAGTTTTATAGGTCTTCCAAATAATTCTCTCCCAAAACGCTTCATCTATCCAGGTGAAGGAGCTACATTGCGAATCAAATCCCATTATTTGCATGGACCTCTTAGTTTCCTAGTATGTTTCCAAGCGTATGTCTCAACCAAACGGGGTCCGACGGTGGTCGACGGAGCGTCGACCACCGTCGACCTGACCGACGGGCAGAAAAAAACTAAAACCCCATCGGATGGCATGCCATCCGAGGGAGGCATCAACCCTAAATCCATGCCTCCCTGTGTTTAGGGTTGATGCCTCCCTGACCGGATGCATGCCCGACTGGGGTTTATTTTTTTTGCCCGCGGGCAGCGAGCTCATCCGGGCGGGGTCGCTTGTCGGCTGAGCTATACTGAGCCTTGTATCTCATGAATTCTTCCTGTTCTCAGCAATTTGGAATAACAATCAATAAATTGCTGCGAAAACTCAAACCTGCACTTCCTTAGAGAACCGTGCCACGTGCAGCTTCATGCGGACGTGATGTGGAACAGCTGAAGATCTAGTGTGTCTAGTCAGCAGCAGTTCAGGCTACTTGGGTCACATAGCCTATTTTTGTTGGCAGATTTCCGAGCATCCAGTTGTTTCTTGTTTCAAGCCTTGCTGCTGCTTCAGGATCGTAGCTCCCAGCCATCTCCCTCGGCCAAATATCGGATACCGCTCGTCCCTATTAAGCTCTACTCGTTCCGATCGCGGGGCTTCGTACCGCCAGGGGAATAGAGTGAGTTTGCCCGATCCCACCCTCTTGCTCCCACTTTCCCGTTTTCTGTCCTCACCGACACTCGTTCAATCTGGGTGTCCGTGCGTTGGGTGCATTTGGACGTCGGTATCGTCAAGGTCAAGGTGACTTCTGAGTCCACTCACAAGTATCGTCGCCTTCCTCCTTTTTTTGTTTTGTTGTTGTTGTTTTTTTTTTTTTTTTTCACTCCACTCTTCACCTTTCGTGTAAGGTGCTGCATTTCCCCCGCTCGATTACCTGACTCCGAGGTAGCCCGCCTCGTCTTCTCGCTTTCGGTCTCATCCTCTTCGCAACCCACATCCTCCTCATCCGGATCCATGTAACTCTGACCCTAGGCGACTCTTCAGTCGAAACGTTACCTGGGTCTAACGTCACTCACCGTACATCTTCCGTGTCTGCCTCTCCCGTCGCAGGTCGCAAATTTGAGTCGACTCAAAAGTCACCTCGTTTTGAGTCGACTCGAAAGTCACCTCGTTTTGAGTCGACTCAAAAGTCACCTCGTTTTGAGTCGACTCAAAGGTCACCTCGTTTTGAGTCGACTCAAAGGTCACCTCGTTTTGAGTCGACTCAAAGGTCACCTCGTTTTGAGTCGACTCAAAGGTCACCTCGTTTTGGGTCGACTCAAAGGTCACCTCGTTTTGAGTCGACTCAAAGGTCACCTCGTTTTGAGTCGACTCAAAGGTCACCTCGTTTTGAGTCGACTCAAAGGTCACCTCGTTTTGAGTCGACTCAAAGGTCACCTCGTTTTGAGTCGACTCAAAGGTCACCTCGTTTTGAGTCGACTCAAAGGTCACCTCGTTTTGAGTCGACTCAAAGGTCACCTCGTTTTGAGTCGACTCAAAGGTCACCTCGTTTTGAGTCGACTCAAAGGTCACCTGGGTCTAACGTCACTCACCGTACATCTTCCGTGTCTGCCTCTCCCGTCGCAGGTCACATTGCGAAGCGCTAATACATCTTCAGCGACCAACAAAGTCGAATCGCGATGACGGCGAGTGCGATGATTCAGTCAACCGCCAAATGCGCCGCCACACAGGTTGGCGTGACTTGGGTAGGCGTGGCTTGGGTAGGCGTGACTTGGGTAGGCGTGGCTTGGGTAGGCGTGGCTTGGGTAGGCGTGGCTTGGGTAGGCGTGGCTTGGGTAGGCGTGGCTTGGGTAGGCGTGGCTTGGGTAGGCGTGACTAAGTGATCACCGAGTTGGGTCGCGATGATGGCGCGAGCGATGATCCAGTCAACCGCCAAATGCTCCGCCACACAGGTAGGTGCGGCTTGGGTAGGCGTGATAGGAAACCTCTTAATGCTGTGTCATGTGGCGCATGAAGCGATTAGCACACTCACACGAGCGATGATAAACTAAATCTCCAGACATCTGGATACGACTTCTCACGGCGATTGCGCCGCGTGGAAAAACAGAAAAGGAAATCAAGCTCAGACAAATCCTGAAACGAGTCCACACGATGAGTGCTTGATACGGAAGCACAGCGACTGAAACCCGATGCGATGGGTGTCGCGCCCTCACTTGCACACGGTTCCACACGTGCTGCTCCGCCACTCGTTGCTTTCCCACACGCTCTCCTGCCCCCCCTCCCTTACGCCTCCTCCTAGCTCTTAATAACCGTCTAATCAGAGCATCTATTCTTCGGTTCCGCTCTCACCTATGCTTCTTGTGACTCTTCTCTCCCACGCCCTCTGAAAACGTCTTTAATCATCTTCCAGCCCTCTCGTTGTTTCGCTCTTCCCCTCCGCCTGTTTCGCTCTTCCCCTCGGCCCGTTTCGCTCTTCCCCTCCGCCCGTTTCGTTTTTCCGCTCAGGCGGCGCTGCTTGCGGGCGAGCCCGTTCTCAGAGGCGCCACGTCAGCACCGGCGTCTCTCTCGCCCGCCACGTGGCTGCCGCTAGGCCGGTCCGGACCCACTCCTGGAGCGCCACGTGTGGTCAGGACAGCGGGGTTTAGACCAGGAGCGGCGGTGGCGGCGGCAGCGGGAGGAAGGGGCACGAGCAAGGGGGGGGACAGAGGTGAGACGAGGGAGGGGTTGGGAGAGGGGTACGATTGGAAGAGTTGAAGGGAAAGGGTGGGGAGAGAAGTGGAGGAGAGGGTGGGGAAAGGTTCGGAGGGGTGAGAAGCACAGCGGTGCGCTGTGGTCGAGAGAAGTTTCAGTGCGACAAGCATAGGTATGGTGAAAGGCTGTGGCGGAGGGGAGGGGAATTGGCTGAGGCGAGAAAGAGGAAACAAATCAAGGGTTTATCAAGGGTTTATGAGGGAAAGTGCTTGAGATGGATGCCGAGGTTTATCAAGGGCTTTGCGGTGCATTTAAGGTTTCTTGTGGAATAGTAGCAGGGTCTGTTAGCAGCAGGCAATGTGTGAAAGACTCAGCACAGCATGGCATGGGTGTGGCATGGGTATATGGCATGGGTGTGGCATGGGTATATGGCATGGGTGTGGCATGGGTATATGGCATGGTTGTGGCATGGGTATATGGCATGGGTGTGGCATGGGTATATGGCATGGGTGTGGCATGGGTATATGGCACGGTTGTGGCATGGGTATATGGCATGGGTATGACATGGGTGGTATGGCGGGGCATGCATATGACATGGGCATGTTCCCAACCCCCTGCATTCTCCCGCACACTCTCTTCCCCCATTTTCATACCCTCCCCTCTCCCCATGACCATCTCTCCTTCCGAATCCCCTTTCCCTCCCCTCTCCCGCACCCCACCCCCACCCCTCCCCTTTCGCCTGTGCCCCTGTCGTCCCACACCCCCCCCTGCCAGTGTCGTCCTCTGCCGTCCAGCAGCAGGTGCTGCTGGCGTCAGTGTCCCAGTCCACGTCAGCACCACCTCCCGTGCGACCATCCCAGCCGTCCTCTTACCCGTAGGTGGCACCAGGGAGAGGGATTTGGAGAGGTGCAGAGAGATTTGCGGAGAGATGCGGAGAGACGCAGAGGGGTGCAGAGATATGGAGAGGGATGGAGCGAGGTGTGTAGAGATGGCAATGGGGACATTGAGAGGGCTCCACATTGGCATACATGGGCATTGTCATGCACATTGACAGGTCTCCGGTTCAAGTCCGGTCGTAGGCAGATCCATCAATTCACACGTACATGCACATGTTCATCTACAGTCATGCACGTCTTCCTATTTCCGTGCCAGTCGCCCTTATTTCCAGCAAGCAGAGGCAAACCTCTCATGTGGTTTGGTGTGGTGTGGTGTGGGTCACTGTGGTTGGATGGGGTGTGGTGTGGTGTGGACCACTAGGCGTGTGGCTCCTTCCCTCGTTTCAGGGGCGTCGCAACATCTGCTTGCACCCCTCCTACCTTCTCCTCGCTCTTCTCCTCCCCTCTTCCCCCTTCTCTCGCCTCCTTACCACTCCTCCCCAATTTCCCCTCTCCCGCCTCCCCCCACGGAAATGCAGGGGCACGCCTCTCATGTGGGTGGGCGTGGGCGTGGCTCTCTCGCTCTTCGCCTCGTGGGTGAGAACTCCTGGAAGTTACCAGCTAGAATCTCGGTCTATGACCCTCATGCATGCCCTCATGCATGCCCTCATGCATGCCCTCATGCATGCCCCCCTGCATGCCACCATACCTCCGTCCTTTGCCTGCCTTTGCTTCTCATGCCACCTTTGCTCCTTCCCGCTCTTTGCTTCTCTCGCCAGCCCATCGCATACTCTCTCCTCTCCTTTCTGTAGCTCCACACAACCTTCTTTCAGTTCTCCCTTTCCTCTTCTCCCTTCGTCCTTTTCTGCCCCTCTCACATGTAACGCCAATGGCGCTCTCCCCTCCCTCCAGGGCTCCAAGTTTGTCATGCAGCGCATGCAGGTGAGCAGCGGTGCAAGCAGGTGAGCAGTGGTGCCAGCAGGTTACCATCGGTGCAAGCAGGTGAGCAGCGGTGCATGCAGGTGAGATGCAGTTTCAGACAAGCAGGCTGCTCAGCGTACCTTTTAGGTTAATTGCCTCTTGATGCGCGTCTTATCTCGCAATCCACACCTGTTCCCGTTCTCTGATCTCTCACATCTCTACCTTCCAACACCCCCGACAAGCCATGATGAAGCAGATGCTCAATGCGAAGCAATCCCAAGGCAGGGGGAAGAGGAGCATCGTTATCTCATGCTCCACACTCCCTTACTCCCCTTTTCCACATATGTTTCTCACCATCCCGTCTCTCCCCCTACCTCTCTCTTCCCCACCCCCACCAGCAAGCCATGATGAAGCAGATGCTCAGTGCCATGCAATCCGGAGGCGGGAGGAAGGAGCATCATGATTCCAAGCTCCAAACTCCATGTTCCTGTTTTCTCTCCGCCCCCCACCCCTCCCCCTACCTCTCTCTTCCCACCCCCACCAGCAAGCCATGATGAAGCAGATGCTCAGTGCCATGCAATCTGGAGGCGGCGGCCCGGGCGGCGCGGCCAATCCGTTTGCGGCAGCTGGCATGGGCGGCGGCGCCAACCCGTTTGCGGCCATGGGCGGCGGAGGAGCAGCAAACCCCTTCGGTGGCATGCCCTTCCCCCCACCACCACCAGCAGCATCACCATCATCATCACCCTCCTCCTCCTCGTCTTCCCCCTCCTCTGGGTCCTCCAAGGCCAAGTCCTCCTCCACAGCCTCCAAGGCGTCTGCAGGTGCGTTGGCGATTTTTAAGTTGACTGAGGTTTGCTCTCTTCCTCTTTCTCATCACCCTCCTCCTCCTCGTCTTCCCCCTCCTCTGGTTCCTCCAAGGCTAAACCTTCCTCCACAGCCGCCAAGGCATCTGCAGGTGCGTTGCTGAGGGGTTTGGACACCTGTAGTTATTCCTTCCATTCCCGTCTCTCTCCTTTCTTTTCATTTGATTCTTTATTTGTCGCTTCCACTGGTCCTCTGAGGTCTTTTGCATGTTTACCCTCCATTTCCCGGGTATTCTGCTCAACCACCCTATCTGCACGGCAACTGATGCTGAAAGCAATGGATAGAGTTCGACTCTCCCATGAGAAAAGGAAATACAGTTTGTCTGATGCCATGCGTAGAGGTGGTGGCGTAACACCCATCTTTCTACACTCTCTTCCTTACACCGCCATCCCTGTGCCCAATGACATGCCATCCCTGTGCCCATTGACATGCCATCCCTGTGCCCAATGACATGCCATCCCTGTGCCCAATGACATGCCATCCCTGTGCCCAATGACATGCCACCCTGTGCCCAATTACATGCCATCCCTGTGCCCAATTACATGCCACCCTGTGCCCAATTACATGCCATCCCTGTGCCCAATTACATGCCACCCTGTGCCCAATTACATGCCACCCTGTGCCCAATTACATGCCACCCTGTGCCCAATTACATGCCACCCTGTGCCCAATTACATGCCACCCTGTGCCCAATTACATGCCACCCTGTGCCCAATTACATGCCACCCTGTGCCCAATTACATGCCACCCTGTGCCCAATTACATGCCACCCTGTGCCCAATTACATACCACCCTGTGCCCAATTACATGCCACCCTGTGCCCAATTACATGCCACCCTGTGCCCAATTACATGCCACCCTGTGCCCAATTACATGCCACCCTGTGCCCAATTACATGCCACCCTGTGCCCAATTACATGCCACCCTGTGTCCACTACAAGCCTCCATTCCTATCCTGATTCCTCCTCTCCTTTTCTTCCTTTTCTCCCAACTACATGACACCCTGCTCTTTAATTTGATCATCGGCGTTTCAACTACCCACTACCCACCCCTTCGTCTGTCTTTCTCTCACCCTGTTCCCCTCCACACACCGTCCCGTCTCCTTGCTTGAATTGAGGATGGCAAGCGATGCTGAAAGCAATGGATAGTGTTCGAAACTTTCCATGAGAACAAATTGATAGTCTGTCTGATGCCATCAGGGTGATGGGTCTGCCATCATCTGCTTCATTGTCCCCCTTCCTTCCATCGCAACGCGTTTGTCTGTCTGTCTGTCATTGTTGCTTCGTTGGGCTGTCTCGTTTGCCATCCCCTAGCATGTCTAGACTTGGCAGGTGATGTTGAAATCATTTTTTTGTTGTGTTTGATCTTCTCCGTGAGAACAGATCATGATCTGAAGCCAAGGGTCTAGCTCCATTGCTTTCCACACACTCGTGTGGGTCTGTCATTTCTTTGAAGTGAAAACCTCGTACTGGTCCTGCATGTCCAGAATGATAGTTATGTTTTTGAGGTGCCTCAAAAATAGAAGGTTCCTGGACTGGACGGGGGTCCGCTCCTGCATGTTGGGAATGGCAAGGGATGTTGAAAGCAATGGATAGTGTTCGACTCAATCCATGAGAACAAGTGTGTTTATCTGATGCCATCACATCCTGTGCTCCCCTGTTGTGTCGCTTCCTCTCCTGTTGAGAATGGCAAGGGATGCTGAAAGCAATGGATAGTGTTCGATTCAATCCATGATAAGATAAATGTTTGTCTGTCTGATGCCACCACATTGTTCCATCCCATGCTGTGCTGTGCTCACCTGTTATTCCGCTTCCTCTGCCTCGTCCTAAAGTCAAACGCTTACTGATGCCACTCCTTAGGATGTTTTGTTCTTTGTTGTGAGCAAGGCTCTGTCTGGGTTGTTTTCCTCATCGTACTTCACGCCTCTTGCTTTATCGATCATGTCTTGTGCCTCTTCCTTTGAGTAAGTCTGATCTGTGCTTCCTTCCTTTCCCTGACATTGTAACTCTTTTGAATGGTAATCACAACTTGTCATGTTTACACCGGGCAGATGATGCTGAAAGCAATGGATCGTGTTCGATCCTTTCTATGAGAACAAAAAAACGATACCATATCTGATGCCAATCGATTGTTGAGCCTTCCTTTCGCCTCCCATTTCAGTCTCCCAATCTGTGATTCGCTCGCAGCAGTGGTAGATGTGATGGGGCAGCGCAGTTGGCAGGCGCCAAGCCACCTACCAACGCTGCTGCTCCTCCATCCTCTCACGCTATCCTCCCTTCTCCCTCCTTTCCACACCTTCCCTCCCGTGTCATGCGCAGCAGTGGTGGACGTGGCAGCACAAGTCTCAGACGCCAAGCCCGCAGCTGCCGCTGCTGCAGCACCCTCTTCTGCCACCACCAGCCCTACCAGCAGCAGCAGCGCTTCTTCGTCGTCAGCAGCATCCTCGGCTCCTGCAGAGGAGGCGGAGAGCAGCAGCAAGAAGAAGAGCTTCTTTCAAGACGCTGAGGTGAGTGCTCTGCTGAGGTGAGTGCTCTGCTGAGGTGAGTGCTCTGCTGAGGTGAGGCACTTGTGAGGGAGTGCTGGAGCACTTTTGAGACGTCTCAAAAGATGCTGAGGTGAGCGCCCTGCTGAGGTGAGGCACTTGTGCGGGAGTGCTGGAGCACCACCAGCGGGTGGAAGAATCAGTGCCGCTACCTTTAGAAGGCCTTAGAAGTCTCCGTCTTACTTGATGCAGAGGAGGCGAGCAGCAGCAGCAAGAGGCGAGCTTCTTTCAAGATGGTAAGGCGAGGCACTTGTGATTCATTGATTCACCTCCAGCAGAATCATTGATTCTCCAGTAGCACATGAAAGTGACCTGCCACCATCATCCAGTAGCTCCAGGTCACTTTCGTGTGCTCGCTCGCCCCACTAGTTTATTCAACGACTTTGAGCAGCCGCTCCACAAGGTATGGGTGTCACTATCCAGCAGCTTCAGGTCCACCCATGCCTTCAGGTCATCCTCTCATCGTGTGCTTGTTGTGCGAATGTCCCATGGCCGGCCTCTCACCCTGTGTTTGCGGCGCCAGCTGGTGGAGGAGCCATCCAGGGGCGCTTCTCCTGGAAGAGCAACAGTAGCAGAAGCAGCAGCGGTGGCAATGCATCTAATCTAATGCCACTTGCCTGCCCTTCCCCTCTGTGATCGCCCTTCCAGGTGGTGGAGGAGCCATCCGGGGGAGGCTTCTCCTGGGGGAACACGGGCAGCAGCACGGGCAGCAGCGGTGGCAATGCATCTAATGCCACTTGGGATACGTCCACCAACTCATTTGCCAACGGAGGAGGTGGTGGTGAGTGCTCGTGCTCAGCGCAGCAAGAAAGGTATAAATTCATGCAGTAACGACTGATGTGCAGTCATGTAAGAGCAAACAGCAACATCACTGCCTCCTCTGTTGCCGTGAATGCCACTTGGGACAATGATGGAGGTGGTGGTAAGTGCCAAGCCAATGCAAGGCTACAGTCCTCCATTTCACTCGGCATGTGCCATGCATTATCTTATCATTATGTATCGCAGATTTCCAACCCTCAATCCATTATCGTGCATCTCAATCCATTATCGTGCATCTCAATCCATTATCGTGCATCTCAATCCATTATCGTGCATCTCAATCCATTATCGTGCATCTCAATCCATTATCGTGCATCTCAATCCATTATCGTGCATCTCAATCCATTATCGTGCATCTCAATCCATTATCGTGCATCTCAATCCATTATCGTGCATCTCAATCCATTATCGTGCATCTCAATCCATTATCGTGCATCTCAATCCATTATCGTGCATCTCAATCCATTATCGTGCATCTCAATCCATTATCGTGCATCTCAATCCATTATCGTGCATCTCAATCCATTATCGTGCATCTCAATCCATTATCGTGCATCTCAATCCATTATCGTGCATCTCAATCCATTATCGTGCATCTCAATCCATTATCGTGCATCTCAATCCATTATCGTGCATCTCAATCCATTATCGTGCATCTCAATCCATTATCGTGCATCTCAATCCATTATCGTGCATCTCAATCCATTATCGTGCATCTCAATCCATTATCGTGCATCTCAATCCATTATCGTGCATCTCAATCCATTATCGTGCATCTCAATCCATTATCGTGCATCTCAATCCATTATCGTGCATCTCAATCCATTATCGTGCATCTCAATCCATTATCGTGCATCTCAATCCATTATCGTGCATCTCAATCCATTATCGTGCATCTCAATCCATTATCGTGCATCTCAATCCATTATCGTGCATCTCAATCCATTATCGTGCATCTCAATCCATTATCGTGCATCTCAATCCATTATCGTGCATCTCAATCCATTATCGTGCATCTCAATCCATTATCGTGCATCTCAATCCATTATCGTGCATCTCAATCCATTATCGTGCATCTCAATCCATTATCGTGCATCTCAATCCATTATCGTGCATCTCAATCCATTATCGTGCATCTCAATCCATTATCGTGCATCTCAATCCATTATCGTGCATCTCAATCCATTATCGTGCATCTCAATCCATTATCGTGCATCTCAATCCATTATCGTGCATCTCAATCCATTATCGTGCATCTCAATCCATTATCGTGCATCTCAATCCATTATCGTGCATCTCAATCCATTATCGTGCATCTCAATCCATTATCGTGCATCTCAATCCATTATCGTGCATCTCAATCCATTATCGTGCATCTCAATCCATTATCGTGCATCTCAATCCATTATCGTGCATCTCAATCCATTATCGTGCATCTCAATCCATTATCGTATCGTGCATCTCAATCCATTATCGTGCATCTCAAGTCCATTATCGTGCATCTCAATCCATTATCGTGCATCTCAATCCATTATCGTGCATCTCAATCCATTATCGTGCATCTCAATCCATTATCGTGCATCTCAATCCATTATCGTGCATCTCAATCCATTATCGTGCATCTCAATCCATTATCGTGCATCTCAATCCATTATCGTGCATCTCAATCCATTATCGTGCATCTCAATCCATTATCGTGCATCTCAATCCATTATCGTGCATCTCAATCCATTATCGTGCATCTCAATCCATTATCGTGCATCTCAATCCATTATCGTGCATCTCAATCCATTATCGTGCATCTCAATCCATTATCGTGCATCTCAATCCATTATCGTGCATCTCAATCCATTATCGTGCATCTCAATCCATTATCGTGCATCTCAATCCATTATCGTGCATCTCAATCCATTATCGTGCATCTCAATCCATTATCGTGCATCTCAATCCATTATCGTGCATCTCAATCCATTATCGTGCATCTCAATCCATTATCGTGCATCTCAATCCATTATCGTGCATCTCAATCCATTATCGTGCATCTCAATCCATTATCGTGCATCTCAATCCATTATCGTGCATCTCAATCCATTATCGTGCATCTCAATCCATTATCGTGCATCTCAATCCATTATCGTGCATCTCAATCCATTATCGTGCATCTCAATCCATTATCGTGCATCTCAATCCATTATCGTGCATCTCAATCCATTATCGTGCATCTCAATCCATTATCGTGCATCTCAATCCATTATCGTGCATCTCAATCCATTATCGTGCATCTCAATCCATTATCGTGCATCTCAATCCATTATCGTGCATCTCAATCCATTATCGTGCATCTCAATCCATTATCGTGCATCTCAATCCATTATCGTGCATCTCAATCCATTATCGTGCATCTCAATCCATTATCGTGCATCTCAATCCATTATCGTGCATCTCAATCCATTATCGTGCATCTCAATCCATTATCGTGCATCTCAATCCATTATCGTGCATCTCAATCCATTATCGTGCATCTCAATCCATTATCGTGCATCTCAATCCATTATCGTGCATCTCAATCCATTATCGTGCATCTCAATCCATTATCGTGCATCTCAATCCATTATCGTGCATCTCAATCCATTATCGTGCATCTCAATCCATTATCGTGCATCTCAATCCATTATCGTGCATCTCAATCCATTATCGTGCATCTCAATCCATTATCGTGCATCTCAATCCATTATCGTGCATCTCAATCCATTATCGTGCATCTCAATCCATTATCGTGCATCTCAATCCATTATCGTGCATCTCAATCCATTATCGTGCATCTCAATCCATTATCGTGCATCTCAATCCATTATCGTGCATCTCAATCCATTATCGTGCATCTCAATCCATTATCGTGCATCTCAATCCATTATCGTGCATCTCAATCCATTATCGTGCATCTCAATCCATTATCGTGCATCTCAATCCATTATCGTGCATCTCAATCCATTATCGTGCATCTCAATCCATTATCGTGCATCTCAATCCATTATCGTGCATCTCAATCCATTATCGTGCATCTCAATCCATTATCGTGCATCTCAATCCATTATCGTGCATCTCAATCCATTATCGTGCATCTCAATCCATTATCGTGCATCTCAATCCATTATCGTGCATCTCAATCCATTATCGTGCATCTCAATCCATTATCGTGCATCTCAATCCATTATCGTGCATCTCAATCCATTATCGTGCATCTCAATCCATTATCGTGCATCTCAATCCATTATCGTGCATCTCAATCCATTATCGTGCATCTCAATCCATTATCGTGCATCTCAATCCATTATCGTGCATCTCAATCCATTATCGTGCATCTCAATCCATTATCGTGCATCTCAATCCATTATCGTGCATCTCAATCCATTATCGTGCATCTCAATCCATTATCGTGCATCTCAATCCATTATCGTGCATCTCAATCCATTATCGTGCATCTCAATCCATTATCGTGCATCTCAATCCATTATCGTGCATCTCAATCCATTATCGTGCATCTCAATCCATTATCGTGCATCTCAATCCATTATCGTGCATCTCAATCCATTATCGTGCATCTCAATCCATTATCGTGCATCTCAATCCATTATCGTGCATCTCAATCCATTATCGTGCATCTCAATCCATTATCGTGCATCTCAATCCATTATCGTGCATCTCAATCCATTATCGTGCATCTCAATCCATTATCGTGCATCTCAATCCATTATCGTGCATCTCAATCCATTATCGTGCATCTCAATCCATTATCGTGCATCTCAATCCATTATCGTGCATCTCAATCCATTATCGTGCATCTCAATCCATTATCGTGCATCTCAATCCATTATCGTGCATCTCAATCCATTATCGTGCATCTCAATCCATTATCGTGCATCTCAATCCATTATCGTGCATCTCAATCCATCATCGTGCATCTATCCATCATCGTGCATCTCAATCCATCATCGTGCATCTCAATCCATCATCGTGCATCTCAATCCATCATCGTGCATCTCAATCCATCATCGTGCATCTCAATCCATCATCGTGCATCTCAATCCATTATCGTGCATCTCAATCCATTATCGTGCATCTCAATCCATTATCGTGCATCTCAATCCGTTATCGTGCATCTCAATCCGTTATCGTGCATCTCAATCCATTATCGTGCATCTCAATCCGTTATCGTGCATCTCAATCCGTTATCGTGCATCTCAATCCGTTATCGTGCATCTCAATCCGTTATCGTGCATCTCAATCCATTATCGTGCATCTCAATCCATTATCGTGCATCTCAATCCATTATCGTGCATCTCAATCCATTATCGTGCATCTCAATCCATTATCGTGCATCTCAATCCATTATCGTGCATCTCAATCCATTATCGTGCATCTCAGTCCATTATCGTGCATCTCAATCCATTATCGTGCATCTCAATCCATTATCGTGCATCTCAATCCATTATCGTGCATCTCAATCCATTATCGTGCATCTCAATCCATTATCGTGCATCTCAATCCATTATCGTGCATCTCAATCCATCATCGTGCATCTCAATCCATCATCGTGCATCTCAATCCATCATCGTGCATCTCAATCCATCATCGTGCATCTCAATCCATCATCGTGCATCTCAATCCATCATCGTGCATCTCAATCCATCATCGTGCATCTCAATCCATCATCGTGCATCTCAATCCATTATCGTGCATCTCAATCCATTATCGTGCATCTCAATCCATCATCGTGCATCTCAATCCATCATCGTGCATCTCAATCCATCATCGTGCATCTCAATCCATCATCGTGCATCTCAATCCATCATCGTGCATCTCAATCCATCATCGTGCATCTCAATCCATCATCGTGCATCTCAATCCATCATCGTGCATCTCAATCCATCATCGTGCATCTCAATCCATCATCGTGCATCTCAATCCATCATCGTGCATCTCAATCCATCATCGTGCATCTCAATCCATCATCGTGCATCTCAATCCATTATCGTGCATCTCAATCCATTATCGTGCATCTCAATCCATTATCGTGCATCTCAATCCATTATCGTGCATCTCAATCCATTATCGTGCATCTCAATCCATTATCGTGCATCTCAATCCATTATCGTGCATCTCAATCCATTATCGTGCATCTCAATCCATTATCGTGCATCTCAATCCATTATCGTGCATCTCAATCCATTATCGTGCATCTCAATCCATTATCGTGCATCTCAATCCATTATCGTGCATCTCAATCCATTATCGTGCATCTCAATCCATTATCGTGCATCTCAATCCATTATCGTGCATCTCAATCCATTTTCGTGGATCTCGTTATCTCTTAACACCCTGACGAAACAGTCGTCTCGATTCTTGTTTTGTTCAATTCGGCTTTTTTCTTTAGCAGGCGGGGCTAAGGGCAAGATGACAGTGGAGGCACTGGAGAAGATGCTCGAGGACCCCATGGTGCAGAAGATGGTTTTCCCGTGAGTTTCCAGGTGTAATCGCCGCTTTGCCCCATGAAAGTGCATTTATGCCTGCTGGTTGTGTTTTAGTAACTCCACTCCACCCCCGTAACACTTTTGCCACTCTCGTCTTTCCATATCACTGACGGATTCTCATCTTCCCTGCTCCCTCCACTCTGCAAACTCAGCTGCCCTTCGCTCCTCCTCACACATGTGTCGTCCTGCATTTCACTGCACAGCATCTATCTGCAAAGGCATGCATTTTCCCGACATACTTTGCTCCTTTTGCCCTCCTCCTCACACTCGTGCTGTCCTGCAGATATCTGCCAGAGGAGATGAGAGACCCGGCCACCTTCAAGTGTAAGCACCTCCACCCACACCTCTTATCCTTCTTCCCACCCCTCTTCTCCGTCTCTCCCTCTCCCGCCCTTACCCCTCCTCTCCGTCTCTCCCTCTCCCTCCCCACCCCTCGTCACCTTCTCTCCCTTCTGCTACCCACCCCCCCTCTCTGTCTCTCCCTCTACCTCCCCACCCCTCCTCTCCCTCTCTCCCTTCCCCTCCCCACCCCTCCTCTCCTTCTCTCCCTTCCCCTCCCCACCCCTCCTCTCCTTCTCTCCATTCCCCTCCCTACCCGCTCCTCTCCTTCTCTCCCTTCCCCTCCCTACCCCTCCTCTCCTTCTCTCCCTTCCCCTCCCCACCCCTCGTCTCCGCGTTCTTCTCCAGCACGTGAAGCAATTTGTTAGTCGATGTTTCCTGTACCGCCAGCACATACAATATCATCTCTCCCTCCCCTCTTCCCCCACCCGGCCAAGCCCCACAGGCATGATGCAGAGCCCCATGTACCGCCAGCACATGATGCAGAGCCCCATGTACCGCCAGCACATGATGCAGAGCCCCATGTACCGCCAGCACATGATGCAGAGCCCCATGTACCGCCAGCACATGATGCAGAGCCCCATGTACCGCCAGCACATGATGCAGAGCCCCATGTACCGCCAGCACATGATGCAGAGCCCCATGTACCGCCAGCAGCAGCTAGCGAGCATGAGAGCACGCAAAGCCTTACCTTCCACCGCCCCTTCCTTCCCCTCCCGTTTTCTTTTCCTCGTGCTGTCTCTCCCTGCCCCACCCCCATGTGCCTATGCATGCGCTTATCCCCCCCAGGGATGATGCAGAGCCCCATGTACCGCCAGCAGCTAGAGAGCATGCTGTGAGTTTCCTATCTCTCCTCCGCTTGCTCACCCCTCTCTCCTTTCCTCCTCAAACCGCTTCTATCTCCCTGTTCATCCATCCCCATTTTTCCCAGCACTACCTCTCCTGGTGTGTTTTGAGTCGACTCAAAGCACTACCTCTCCTGGTGTGTTTTGAGTCAACTCAAAGCACTACCTCTCCTGGTGTGTTTTGAGTCGACTCAAAGCACTACCTCTCCTGGTGTGTTTTGAGTCGACTCAAAGCACTACCTCTCCTCTCCTCCTCCCTCCACCACATGCTCCCTCCACCACATGCTCCCTCCACCACATGCTCCCTCCACCACATGCTCCCCCACGTCCTCCCTGTTCCCTTGTCCCATGTCCCCTCGTTTTCCGTCCCAGTATTTCCCTTGTCCATCCCTCCTCTCTGCAATTTTCTGCACTACCTCTTCACCCATCTCGTCCATTCAACACCTCTCCTGTCCCTTGTAGCCTTGCTTCTCATCACATCCTTTCCCTTCACTTCCCCTCATTTCATCACATAGTTTCCCTTCTCATCCGCTTCCTCTCATCGCGTCGTTTCCGTACCCATCCTCTCCCTGCAGCGACAACATGGGCGGCACGGGCTTTGATGACAGAGTCCTGGACATGATGAAGAGCTTCGACCTCAACAGCCCCGAAGTGAAGGACCAGTTCTGTGAGTTGCTGTGTTGATGAGGGGGGCAGTTCTATGAGTGCAAGGGGCAGTGGTCTCAGCTCACAGTCAACTCTAGTTCCAAAGCTGGACATGATGAAGAGCTTCGACCTCAACAGCCCCGAAGTCAAGGACCAGTTCTGTGAGTTGCTGTGTTGATGAGGGGGGCAGTTCTATGAGTGCAAGGGGCAGTGGTCTCAGCTCACAGTCAACTCTAGTTCCAAAGCTGGACATGATGAAGAGCTTCGACCTCAACAGCCCCGAAGTCAAGGACCAGTTCTGTGAGTTGCTGTGTTGATGAGGGGGGCAGTTCTATGAGTGCAAGGGGCAGTGGTCTCAGCTCACAGTCAACTCTAGTTCCAAAGCTGGACATGATGAAGAGCTTCGACCTCAACAGCCCCGAAGTGAAGGACCAGTTCTGTGAGTTGCTGTGTTGATGAGGGGGGCAGTTCTATGAGTGCAAGGGGCAGTGGTCTCAGCTCACAGTCAACTCTAGTTCCAAAGCTGGACATGATGAAGAGCTTCGACCTCAACAGCCCCGAAGTCAAGGACCAGTTCTGTGAGTTGCTGCGTTGACCAGGGGGCAGTTCTCTATGCTTGGTTGACCAAGGGGTCCAAGCTGCAATTCTCTCAGTTCACAGGCCCCTTGGGTTTATCAAGCTCAAGATCATCAAGAGCTTTGAGTCGACCATGTCACCAGAGGACGTGGAGGCTAAGATCATGTCCAACCCTACCTAACCACCCTAACCTACTCATATATGTCTGTCACCGCACTCAACCAACCCGTACATCTCCTCCCTTTCCCCCGTTCAGCCCAGCTGGGCATGTCACCAGAGGACGTGGTAGGTAAGATCATGTCCAACCCGAAGCTCTCCTCATGTGTCCGTCTAGTAAACGCGACTCAACCCCGTATCTCTCCTCTTCCCCCTCCTTCCCCCCCTATCAGCCCAGCTGGGCATGTCACCAGAGGACGTGGTGGGTAAGATCATGTCCAACCCCAAGCTCGCAGCTGCCTTCCAGAACCCCCGCCTGCAGGCCGCCATCCTCGATGTGAGTCCTTTAGTCTTTGGACATGAGATGGCCTTTCAGGCGTCTCAAATGTCACCACTTTAGACATGGGATGACCTTTCAGGTGCCTCAAAAGTCAAAGCTCGCCGCTGCCTTCGAGAACCCTCGCCTGCAGGCTGCCATCCTCGATGTGAGTCCTTTTTCTGTACTCGCTATAGTCATCAGCATGTGGGTTCGATATAAGCATTCCTTACTGGACTCGATATGAGCATCCTAGCTCATGCTTGATATCAGCATTCTTCTTTGCACTCAATATAAGCAGCCTCGTTTGTGCATGTGTGTGCATAGGCCTGCATGCTCTCTGCTTCTGCCACACCACACTGTGGGTGGTATCTGGTAATCCGGAGCTTTATCCGATGGTTAATCTCTGTTCATGTGTCTGCATCTGGGTATGTGTGTGCTTCTGCATGAACCTGCTTTCATTTTATCCTGATGCCATGGCATGGCATGTAACTTGTCCATATGGGATGACATGGCATGGCATGGAATGGCATGGCATGGCATGGAATGGCGTGCATCCCAACAGGTGTCCTCCAATCCCATGAACTGGACCAAGTACCAAAACGATGCTGAGGTAAGCAAGCACGATGCTGACATGAGCAATTAAGAGACCCACCAATCAAAATCAGTGTGGGCTGGACGGTAGCAGTACCCAGCAGCCCTGTAGGTTGGTACCCGCATCTGCCAGCCGAGTGCTTACTGCATTGCTGCTTGCACGGTTCATTAACCTTTACAGTCGCACTTACTCTGCTCTGGTATGTTTGTGCTGCATTGGTCGACCACTGCTGAGAGGGAATGAGCATCGCTAATCGAGATTTTGAAGCTCTTTGCCCCACCAGGCTTATGCTCTGTTGTGTGTCTTCTCCCCATTTTCCCGTCCTCTGCATTGTCCTCTCCCCCGCCCAATCTAGGTCGTAATAACCCTGTCTAACAGGTCATGGAGATTTTCAACCAGGTCCAGAAGCTCTATGCCCCACCGCACTGGTTGTGCCTATTCGGCATTGTCCACTTACCTGCATCATCCCCTCCCCTCCCCCACCCAAACCTGTGTCATGCTTACACTGGCTGGCAGGTGATGGAGATCTTCAACCAGATCCAGGAGCTCTTTGCCCCGCGCTGATTCTTTGTTTCGCTCCCTTGGGCTCCTTTAGATTACAAGAAAACACTAGATGGTTCAGTCTGTATGTTGTTTCGTTAAGGGTGTACGGTCTGAGAACAAGACTAGGTGAGTAGTAAAAGGCCACTCGATATAGGAACTCCCACTGGTGCAGCATGTGTGGCTGACATTAGTTGTGTACTGAGATGAGATTGGTAGGTTGGCTCCCCAGACGCATCAAATGACTGAAAACATGAACAAGTTGTCCTCCTAAGTGTTGTCAGATTTTCTCATTTGCAGCTGGATGGAAAGCCAGTTTTTAGTCACATCTTTCTGTACCCAAACGAGGAAAACTATATTTCGGATTCTTCATTTGATTTAGCACCGCTCTAAATCATCCCGTCAAAGCATCCGTACCGTACACAACCAGTCAGCTTGAATGCTGTAAATCAACCCACCGAGATTTTGGGACACAATCGACGCTGCATCCGTGCGACTCCAGCCGGCGATTCCTATGCAACTCGGCTTTGTCACCCTGACGTGTCGCGCTTGAACATGGCAAACCGTTCAAGAAAAGTTTCATAGATCGTCAAACCGCTTTGAAACTTGGAGAACCGTCAGGAGCATCGCAGCAAATCCAGCCGAGAGCGGCGTGCAAGGGGGTTCCGTGTAGGCAAATGTACATTCTCCAAAATATGTCCCCCCACTTGCCTCGTTCGTTTATTGATCACAAGGCAGATGGTGTTCCCCCCACCAAGGCCCCGTCCCCCTTCCCCTTCTCTAACCAAACCAAGTCGTTGTCGCCACCACACTTGACCTAGAGAGACTCGCTCGATCGTGAATTTATTCCGTTCTCCTGTTTGTTTCAAGAAAACATCTCTGCGCGCTCCAACCTTGTCATCTATCCGCCACTCGCTGTAGATCGTTTCAGATTCACATTCTCAGATTTCGCGACAGCCTGTTTAGCCGAGTGTACACGTCAGCCGCCATGTCAGTCCAAACGCTGCTGCTAGCTGCTCTCCTTTCACTGTCGATATTGGCGACAGCTGCGGACCCGTTGGCGACACCTGCGGACCCGTTGGCGACACCTGCGGTCCCGTTGGCGATACCTGCGAACTCGTTGGCGACACCTGCGGACCCGTTGGCGACACCTGCGGACCCGTTGGCGATACCTGCGAACTCGTTGGCGACACCTGCGGACCCGTTGGCGACACCTGCGGACCCGTTGGGGACAGCTGCGGACCCGTTAGCGACAGCTGCGGCCGCGGCAAAAACGGCGGGAATCATAGGGGAGCTGAAGGCGCTGCGGCAGAAATTGATGCTAAATCCCCGTTTGAGATACCTCGTCATGAGTCAAGTTCTTTCTCAGCTGATTACTCAAGGAAGTAAGTCCAATTACAATCATCGTCGTAATTTATATTTTTTTTCCGGCTGTGTGATTCCAGAGCCTACCTGTGCTGACTTAGAGGAAACTCAGGTCTGCATCTCCCTTGTTCCCTTTCCCTGCCGCGACTCGCGCTCGATTAACGGGGCTGTTAATCTCATTTCATACTCTACCAGCAACTTACTCTCTTTTCCCGCCCAGACTCGTGTCATGCCCCCGTTTACACCGTTTTACACCTTTCTCGCAACCATCGGTTGGCAAGAAACGCACATTTCGTCGTCCCTCGATTTTTTGCCCATCCGCTCTAGTCGCCCCTTGCAGAAACCATTCCCGTCGGCATCGGCCGGATCCCTTTCTTTCACATCACCATCTTTTGAGGCGCCTTAGACTTCATTCACTGACATTATTCGCTCATTCCGTCATCCCTCACCTCCTTCCCATCCCCTCCACTCGTCCCTCGCAGAAGCCCTCCCCACCGCCATGGACTTGACCCTTTTCATTCACACCACCATCTTAATATCCACCGACGCCGCGCTTCTGTCGAGTGGCCTCCTCCCGAATCTCAAAAACCCGGGAGCCTCGCTCAATCTCTTTAAGAGCCTCTCCTTCAACATCATCAAGGGCAAGAAGCGGTTAGCCAAGCTGAAGGCTTTACCTGAAGGGAAGTCGGTTGCGCTTCTGCTGAACAATGGAAAGTTGTTTCGGCACACAGTGAGTCCTGGTTGGGGAATGAATCAAGGCACTAGCGTGGCGCTCGCGCTCAAGGGAAAGAATAAAAAACAGTGGTCGAGAATTCTCGACAAGAATTTGCACAGAGGAAGTTTCGTAGCTCATGGGGTCGACCGCCTGCAGATTGCTTGAAGCGCTTGACCGATCCAACAGAAGCAAATTTTGGGACTGTTTCAGTGGGAGGTTATTCAACCCACGAACGAAGCTTTCTATTGTTCATACCGTTTGTAAGGTAAATAGGTTGCGATTCACTGGGTCAGGCTTGAGATGAGTGAACCTCTTCGTTCATCATCCTTTGATTCAGATTCTTAGGTGTAACTAGGAGGCACATTGAGGCAGCTGTGCCTCCACTGGCAATGCAATACTACCGTATTTTGTTTGGGAACGCATCCCTCAATTGTCACAAAGCAGCTGAGGCACACAGGTCAGCATCACACAAAAACAGGGTTACCCTTCTTTTTTTGGCGGAACTCTCGCGACTCTGGGACAACGCCTAGCAGCACTCTCTCCTCATTGGCTGATGTGCACAATCGCAAAACAGAACCGAGCGTCGCTCAGGTTGGCCCGCTGTTTGCATCGCACATATCTTGATCGCCTGGTGGTACTCATGACCGGCCTAGGCTCTCACGTAAGTAGAAAGCCAGTGCTTCATCAGCTAGTACCACGTGACCGCGATTTTGACGGCAACTCACGTCACTCATGCTGTCTCGTCAATAGCTGGGCAGAACAAGCCTAGTGTCACTGTAGATATTTACAGGCGTAGTCGCCACACTCACCCGGAACGTCTGAGCCAAACGAGTGCGACACCATTCTACCGCACGTGCAGCGCGAGTCGTCACCCGCGCTCCCCCTCGCCACTCGCGCTCCCCCTCGTCACTCGCGCCTGCCCGGAATAGAATGCCGGCCCTCGTCATGCGTTTCCATTCGTCACGCGCGTTTCCCAACGTCACGCGCGTTTCCCTTCGTGGCGCGCGTTTCCCTTCGTCACGCGCGTTTCCCTTCGTCACTCGCGTTTCCCTTCGTCACGCGCGTTTCCCTTCGTCACGCGCGTTTGCCTTCGTCACGCGCGTTGCCCCTCGTCACGCGCGTTTCCCCTCGTCTCGCGCGTATCGCTTCGTGGCGCACATTTCCGCTTCTCGCGCACGCGCCTTCGCGCGCTTCCCCGCGTTGCGCGCTCTCCTCCCCTCGTCACGCGCGTTTCCCCTCGTTACGCGCTATCCTCCCTGGTCACGCGCGCTTCACCTCGTGAAGGGCCGAGGGGGAGAGACAGAAGGGGAAGGATGGAGGGGGTTTAGGAACAGAGGGGGGAGGGCAGAGAGTGGGAGACCTGGGTGGCAGCGGGTTCTTCCCTCACTCCCTCTCCCCATGGACCTCAATTTCCCCGAAGTGCCTACACCCCTCTTTATGTGACCGACCTCCCTTTCTCCCACCAGCTCTGTGCACCCCGCAATCTATTATCCTTTGCCTCACCTGCTTCCCCCCTCCCTCCTCCCTGCTTCCCCCCTCCCTCCTCCCTGCTTCCCCCCTCCCTCCTCCCTGCTTCCCCCCTCCCTCCGCCCTGCTTCCCCCCTCCCTTCTCCTTGCTTCCCCCCTCCCTCCTCCCTGCTTCCCCCCTCCTTCCTCCCTGCTTCCCCCATCCCTCCTCCCTGCCTCCTCCCTCCCACCGCCCTGCTTCCCCCTCCCTATTCCCTGTTTCCCCCCTCCCTCCGCCCTGCTCCCCCCCTCCCTTCGCCCTGTTTCCCCCCTCCCTCCGCCCTGCTCCCCCCCTCCCTTCGCCCTGCTTCCCCCCTCCCTCTGCCCTGCTTCCCCCCACCTCCGCCCTGCATACCCCCAACCTCATAGAGGTGCGCGTCACGCACCAAGTGAGCCTTTGCTTTCCCCATATGCCACCCCTCGACCTCGATCTCACCATCTTTCCTCTCCCTCCCCATGTACCTCTCCTCTCCCTCCCCATGTACCTCTCCTCTCCCTCCCCATGTACCTCTCCTCTCCCTCCCCATGTACCTCTCCTCTCCCTCCCCATGTACCTCTCCTCTCCCTCCCCATGTACCTCTCCTCTCCCTCCCCATGTACCTCTCCTCTCCCTCCCCATGTACCTCTCCTCTCCCTCCCCATGTACCTCTCCTCTCCCTCCCCATGTACCTCTCCTCTCCCTCCCCATGTACCTCTCCTCTCCCTCCCCATGTACCTCTCCTCTCCCTCCCCATGTACCTCTCCTCTCCCTCCCCATGTACATTTGCAACTAAGAGGAGGGACGGACGCGAAACAAGGGGCCAGCTCAGCAGTCGCTTTTTGCATCTGGTGATGCTGACGATGCCAACCAGGATACTGCCTACTTCTCACCACAATGGGTACGGATGGGTAGGTTCTGCTGGTTGAGACGTCTCAAAAGGCGCCGCACAGCACTCTGTGGCGTGGAAGGTGGATGGGCAGGCAGGTGGTGTGCACCTTGATGCATAATGTACCTCAATTCAAAATGGGGCCTCTCGTCGCGTGTTTAGCTGCTTTGATGTCGTGTGACCTGTTGTCTCTGTGCCTCTCGTCGCGTGTTTAGCTGCTTTGATGTCGTGTGACCTGTTGTCTCTGTGCCTCTCGTCGCGTGTTTAGCTGCTTGGATGTCGTGTGACCTGTTGTCTCTGTGCCTCTCGTCGCGTGTTTAGCTGCTTTGATGTCGTGTGACCTGTTGTCTCTGTGCCTCTCGTCGCGTGTTTAGCTGCTTTGATGTCGTGTGACCTGTTGTCTCTGTGCCTCTCGTCGCGTGTTTAGCTGCTTTGATGTCGTGTGACCTGTTGTCTCTGTGCCTCTCGTCGCGTGTTTAGCTGCTTGGATGTCGTGTGAGCTGTTGTCTCTGTGCCTCTCGTCGCGTGTTTAGCTGCTTGGATGTCGTGTGACCTGGTGTCTCTGTGCCTCTCGTCGCGTGTTTAGCTGCTTGGATGTCGTGTGACCTGGTGTCTCTGTGCCTCTCGTCGCGTGTTTAGCTGCTTGGATGTCGTGTGACCTGTTGTCTCTGTGCCTCTCGTCGCGTGTTTAGCTGCTTGGATGTCGTGTGACCTGGTGTCTCTGTGCCTCTCGTCGCGTGTTTAGCTGCTTGGATGTCGTGTGACCTGTTGTCTCTGTGCCTCTCGTCGCGTGTTTAGCTGCTTGGATGTCGTGTGACCTGGTGTCTCTGTGCCTCTCGTCGCTGCCTATCCTAGGACGTGCAGGCCAACTGTAGCAACATCACCCTCAGCAATGCCCACTTCCTGCTGCACAACGTGCTCCTCCACCTGCCTTCCCCAGCATTCCCCCAACGTGTCCGCCGCCTTTCTCCCCCACACACAACCAGCATGCACCCCACTTGTCCGCCTCCTTTATCCCCCACACATCCCCAGCATTCCCCCCACTTGTCCGCCTCCTTTCTCCCCCACACACCACCAGCATTCCCCCCACTTGTCCGCCTCCTTTATCCCCCACACATCCCCAGCATTCCCCCCACTTGTCCGCCTCCTTTCTCCCCCACACACCACCAGCATTCCCCCCACTTGTCCGCCTCCTTTATCCCCCACACATCCCCAGCATTCCCCCCACTTGTCCGCCTCCTTTCTCCCCCACACACCACCAACATTCCCCCCACTTGTCCGCCTCCTTTCTCCCCCACACACCACCTGCCACGGTCCCAGCACTTGTCCGCCTCCCCACATACCCACCTCCATCTTCCACACGCACCACCCACCTTCAACCCCACAAACTGCTTTCAATCCCCCCCACAGACCGCCCTCCGTGCAACCCAAATATATCCCTCCTTCCACCCTCCATCTACCCTCTCCCCATCTCTCGCGTTCTTCTCTTCTCTCCCTTTCTCCTACTCACTTACTCCTCACTCGTTCTCCTTCCCACGTTTTGCGTCTCTCTCTCTCTCTCTCTCTCTCTCTCTCTCTCTCTCTCTCTCTCTCTCTCTCTCTCTCTCTCTCTCTCTCTCTCTCTCGAATGGCCCTTGTATTGATTGATGGGTGGTACAAAGGAATATGCAAACACAAGCAAACACAAGCATAGCACACGATTTTCCTAACTAACCTTTTCCCATACATCCTCCCGCCCCCTCCGTCCGACCCTAGTGGTCGAACGGGGGCTCAATCAGCTGGTAGAGCTGGCCCTCACTAAGGGGGGCAAAGGGGCCCCGCATGCCGAGCTCGTCCGCTGCTATCGCCTCGTTGGTCTCTCTCTCTCTCTCTCTCTCTCTCTCTCTCTCTCTCTCTCTCTCTCTCTCTCTCTCTCTCTCTCTCTGGGTGGAGGGACAGACGGGGGGAAGGACAGAGGGGGGAAGGGACAGAAGCGGAGGGACAGAGGGGGGGGGGCAGAGGGGAGGAACAGAGGGGGATGCACAAAGGGAGATGGTCAGTAGGGCAGGGAGAGATGGGGAGGGATAGAGGGGAAGAGGGTAAGCTTCTTGCCCTTTTCCGTTTGCCTTCTCCAGAACTAAACCTAGACTCCCATCACGAGGTGAGTGCCCACTCCATTCCCCTCCATTTCATGTCGTTCCCCTCTGTTCCCCTTCGTCCTTTCCTTTCCTGGTCTTCCCCCGTGCAAGCCTCGCTTGCCTTGTCTTCCTTTCCTGCCTTCCCACCTTTCCACCTTGTCTTCCGATCTCTCGTCCATTTGTTTCCACTTCCTCTCTTCCTCCCTCCATCCCTCCCTCTCCCCTCTCTTCCTATCTCCCTCCATCCCTCCCTACCTTGCTATCTACCTTTATTCCTCTGTCCCTCTCTCCCTCTCAACCTCTTCCCTATCTCGCTCTCTTGCCTTTCTCCCTCTCTTCCCTCTCCCCCTCCCTTTTTAACTATCTAGCCCAATCCTTAAAGCCCGCGGCCCAAATTGCAAGCCGCGCGGTTCAAGTTTTTAAAACTTGTTCCCCTGACTTTCGGGTTACCAGGTTTCTGGGAGACAGAGGTCCGCGCGACACAACTCAGGCTGTGAGCCAATGAGAGTTGACTACCCCTATGTTGAGAACCAATGAGATTGAACACAATTGTCTTCAGTCGCAAACCAGGGCTCGGCAGAACCAACACACACCCAAAAACTTGAAAACGAGGGTGTGCAATTTGGGACTCTTGGACACAAACAAGTACCCGCCGCACTAACAAAAAAGCCCACGCACAACTCGAACGCACAGTAGGAACGGCCATGGCACGCCTGCTCTCAATCGTAATGCTATATACTGGGAACTATGGCAAGCTAGCAGCGGAAAATAGGGGCATTGATGGTGCTGGTGCTATTGCCTGTTTCTGGCACCTCCGAGCAGAGCGCACATCCAGACGATGCGACGGCGATGGTCGCGTTCGTCGTATGACCGAAGGTCGTTTAGATAGTAGTCCCAACCATGCCGGCACTCCGTCGACTTGCCATGTCGACGAAGCTTCTCGCAGGGTTGGTACATCGCGCTGCGTCACTTCGCGCAGCGTTTCGACGCCTTGCGCCTCGACGCGCTGCGTCTCATGGCGTAGACAGAGATCGCGTGGGGTTTCATCGCGCATCCTCGTCGCTCTCTACGCCTCGGACCGGAAAAAAGCCCTGTCGTCATTCGAATCGCGTGAGCGACCTCATGGAAATCCGCGCAGCCCTTTGGTTTACGGTCAGTATTTGAAATGATCACTGCGCAAACAAGTACCCAATGCAGAGTATGCGATGTTCCCTGAACATCCCCCTCCCATCGCCTCCACTTCCCCCTCCCGTCGCCTCATCTTCCCCATCCCGTCGCCTCATCTTCCCCCTCACGTCACCTCAACTTCCCCCTCCCGTCGCCTCCACTTCCCCCTCCCGTCGCCTCCACTCCCCCCTCCCGTCGCCTCCACTCCCCCCTCCCGTCGCCTCCACTTCCCCCTCCCGTCGCCTCCACTTCCCCCTCCCGTCGCCTCGACCTTTCCCTTCCCGTCGCCTCCACTTCCCCCTCCCGTCGCCTCCACTTCCCCCTCCCGTCGCCTCCACTTCCCCCTCCCTTCGCCTCCACTTCCCCCTCCCGTCGCCTCCACTTCCCCCTCCCGTCGCCTCCACTTCCCCCTCCCATCGCATCCACTTCCCCATCCCATCGCAAGCACTTCCCCCTCCCGCCCCCTCCACTTCCCCTTCCCGTCGCCTTCGCTTCCTGCTCACTCTCTCCCCACTGTCCCCATTTCCCCTCCCCACCCTTCCCCGCCGCCCGTCCGTGGGCAGCAAAGTGGCGTCCCTTTTGCGCCATCGTGATCAAAGCTCCTTCCGTCGCCACCCTATTCTTCCCCTCGCACCTCCCCTCTCCTCACCTCATTTCCCTCCTCTCCCCTTCCCTCTTCGTTCCGCCGCATACTCTCATAGCCTTGCGTCCCCTACGTCCCATAGGCTCTCTGTATCCTTCTCTCCTTTCCGCCCCTCCGTGTGGGCTCCCCCTCTCCAACATTCACTGCTGTCCCGCTCCCGTGCCACGGCGATCGCCATCAAGGTCGAGTCCGGGCCTGGCTCCTCGTGTGAGGGGTGTAGCAAACTTTCTCTCCTTCCATCCCCCCTTTCCATCCTCCCCCCCCCACTCTCCCCCTCTCGCCCCTCCTCCCCACCCAGGCGAGTGGCGATCTGGCGGCACTTGCGCGTGTTTTACGCACATGTGGCAATGAGTGCGCAGCTCATATCGGCGCCCTCAGGCCAGGCCAGGCCCCAGCGTAAAAAACTAAAAACTGTCAGACGCCAACCTCTCTCCCCCCCCCCTCCCTAATCCCCTCCTCCTCTGCCTCTCCCCTACTCCCCATAACCTCCTGCTCGCCTCCCTCGCCGTGAGGTCTAAGGAACCTCGTATTCCCACATCGGCTCGTGTCTCCCCCACATCTCCCCCCTCTCTCCTCCTCCTCCTCCCCCCACCCACTGCCGGCCCGCCTGCCAACCTCATCCACATTTCTTTCCCCCATCCGCTATCATCAACGCCCTATTAGGACAAGCCGTAGAGGGAGGGCCTCCTCACGCGCCCTCGAAACCCATCTCTCCCCATCTCCCCCCACCTCAACCCCCCCCTTTCCCACACTTTCCCCGTCCCCACCCTCCCTACTCTCCCCACCTCTGTCCCCCTTCCTACCCCAGGCGAGGCCCCCTCTCCCTCTACCCCACACTCTTGCTTCCTCACCCGGGCTCCCCCTCACTCTTTGCACGCTGCTCTCTTCTTCCCACCCAATTTCTTCCAATCGTTCTCTCAGAAAATCATTTCCGTTTTTCCTGCCCCTCCTCTCTATTCCTCCCCCTCCCCTCTCAGGCAATTAATGCAATCACAGACAAGCACGTGCCACATGTCCCAAAGCCCTTCCATCCGGCCCTTTCTTCCTCTCCTCTCCTCTCCCTTTCGGCCACCCCCCTCCCTTCTCTGCCTGCCATCAGGTCATTGCAAGCACCGACAAGAACAAGCCACCAAGTCCCTGTTCCAAGGCCCCTCGCTTCTCCTGACCCTGCTGCCGAGCCTGTTCCCAGACCTGCCTCCGAACCTGAAGCTCATGGCAAGAGGGAGGGAATGACAGCGGGTGGTATGGAAGCAGGGAGGGAGGGGAGGAGGGAAGGATGACACAAGGGAGTGAGAGTGAGGGAGGGGAGGGGTAAGGGGAAGGGTGGGAGAAGGAGGAAGAGTTGGAGGAGGAGGACAAGGAGTGGGATGATGAAGTGGAGTTCTAGGAGGCACAGGTGAGAGCTGCACCACACTGCTGCTGGGCTGGGACACATACCCACCCTCTTTTGTGAAGCTTCCTGACTATCTAACAGGGGGACTACTTACCCTGGCCACCCTGTTGTGCCTGTGTTGTTCCTCAGATGGTCTTACCCCTACTTCCCCCCTTCTTACCCCCTCGTCCTCTCCTCTCTCCTGCATTGGTGCATGTGTCCTGTTTTGTCTGCGGATGCTGTGGGCAGCAGAGGAGGAACTATACGGGGAGAAGATACTTTCAGTTGACAGCCTGACCTCAGGTGGTCTCCACCTGTCAGGTGAAATGACAGTGTGAGATTCTATGGTGCCACCCATACACCAACCCCCGCTCCCCTCTCCTCACCGTTTGCCCTTCGGCTGTGTCCCGCTGCTCAACCCCATTTGCTCAGACTTCCACCTCCTCCCCCTTCTCTGTTTGTTGTGCGCTGACTTCTTCTGCCACACCTAGTTCCATGAGGTGCGGTTGGTGGGAGGCATAGAGATCTTGGGATGCGTCTCAAGAGTTGGCTTGAGTCTGCACCGGGTGTGTTCTGTGTGTTGTGCGCCAAGTTATTTCGTCACTGCTGCTTTCATGAGGTCAAGTTAGAGGATGAGAGTGGTTCTATTGAAAGGGGGGCGGTGAGAAACCCAACGAAGCGCTTGCACCTACAAGCTAAGGTTTATGTGAATGCGTGCATCACGACTTTCACGGGCTCGCCCATGCATGTCTCTCATGCCCCCATGCCCATGCCTCATTCTCCATGCCCCAAACCTGCATGCCAGTTCCACATGATGCCGTCCACCCCATTTCCTTCCTTCCGCCGCCTCTGCTGCTGATGCACAGAATGGCTACTCCACTCCACTCGTACAGCTGCCTATTTGCCCATCGTACACTTATACCTCTCTCCCTGCCTCACCACCAGAATCTCTTGCATTTTGACTGCAGTCAGTGTTGAGCTGAATTCATGCCTCCTTCTCCCCACAGTGGCCCATCTCACTCCTCCAGTCATAAGCGATCTCGCTGGTTCCCCACTCTTTCTAATTCCCCCACTACTCTGCCCTGTTATTATTTTCCCCTTCTTCCCTGTGATTGGGTTCCCCATATGCCTACTTATAACATTTTGTCATCTTCCCTGTCCTTCCTGCCCACTGGGAGGGCACAATCCAGGTCGCAATGGGAGGGCACAAGGCATGGCGCAATGGGAGGGCACAAGGCAGGGCACAATGGGAGGGCACAAGGCAGGGCGCAATGGGAGAGCACAAGGCAGGGCGCAATGGCACGTGGCACAAGGCAGGGCGCAATGGGAGGGCACAAGGTAGGGCGCAATGGGAGGGCACAAGGGAGGGCGCAATGGGAGGGCACAAGGCGGGGCATATGGGGAGGAGGTGGAAAGGCGGAAGGGAGAGGAAGAGTAGGCGGGTGGAGTTGTTACAATGGGCCAGAATTGATTGCTGTGACACTGTGAAGTGACATGCTGGGCGTGTGAAGTGACATGCTGGGCGTGTGAAGTGACATGCTGGGCGTGTGAAGTGACATGCTGGGCGTGGGAAGTGACATGCTGGGCGTGTGAAGTGACATGCTGGGCGTGTGAAGTGACATGCTGGGCGTGTGAAGTGACATGCTGGGCGTGTGAAGTGACATGCTGGGCGTGTGAAGTGACATGCTGGGCGTGTGAAGTGACATGCTGGGCGTGTGAAGTGACATGCTGGGCGTGTGAAGTGACATGCTGGGCGTGTGACATACTCGCCAGGGCGGTGATGACTGCATGGTGCCAAAGGTGCGTGTGACTGCATGGTGCCAAAGGTGCGTGTGACTGCATGGTGCCAAAGGTGCGTGTGACTGCATGGTGCGCCAAAGGTGCGTGCGCATGTGACTGCATGGTGCCAAAGGTGCGTGTGACTGCATGGTGCGCCAAAGGTGCGTGCGCATGTGACTGCATGGTGCCAAAGGTGCGTGCATGTGTCTGTATTCTTATGAGCTCATGCACACGTGCGGGCATGTGTAGGTGTGTGAGGGCTCGTGCATGCTCGAATGTCTTCACTTTCCACCTATTCATTCAATACGACCCCTAGTTTTACACCTCATTCAACCAACCCCATCTACGCACTGTCTCACCTTTGGGCTTGATCTGGTACGCCAGCTGCATGGAGTACCGCGTGCTCTTGGCTGCTTTCAGTGCTAACAATCGTGCAAGGATGAGGCTGCAGGTTTGGAGCAACCCCCTCTGTTTCAGCTCCTGTTGATTGGGCAACCTCTGCACACACGCCATGTATCAGAATCATTAGGGTATACACGCACTTGCATTCAGACTCTAGTTCAGTTTCGCTTCATAAACAGTACAGCCTTCACAAACCCTCCGTCTGAAGCATGCTGCATGGTTGTATGACCAACATAGCATACTCTTGTGCCAACGCCACGCTGTTGCTCACCTTGTCTCCGCACGCTCTCGAAGGCTTTACCCCTTCGGGCCCCACCCCAACCGTTTCCACGAACAGGGCGTATTTTCCCCTTCTTATCCTCTTTGTAGGGCGGGAAGTTGTAAACCAGACCCTCGATTGGGCGATCTGCCTTCTCCACTATCCCAGTTACGGCGTTAATACCACTGTTTGCCCGTGCATCGAACTGGCGCCCGTATGCCTCAAGGTGAAGCTCTGCCGTCGCCAATGCATCTCCCCCATGTGTTCCTGCCACGGAACAACGGTGACACCAAGTATATCCCATCCATTATTGTGTGGCTGCTTGTGCCATTGTGATGCGCTAAACGTTCAGATTGCTCAACTATCACGGACACACGACCATGCTAGGACTTGATCACCAACTTTCCACCCTTACCTGCTTCTTTGGCAGCCCGCATCAGCCGTTTGTACGCTGTAGGGGCGTTCATCATGAAGTAGTAAAGAACATCAGCAGTTGTCGCCTCTGTCTTCCCCCCCATCAATGCCGACAACCCGCATCGTTGAAGGCATATGACTGGCCTCATATGCTTGGATATGCCGTGAACCGCCTTGTCATGCTCGTCGCTAAGATTCGCTACAGTGGACCCTCCACTTGCTCTTGCATCCGTCTGCCTCCCACGCCTGAAGGTTGGGTTTGGAAATGGTGTGTAGATTTGCACGGTTTGGAATCGATGGCTGGATATGCGTTACAAGGGAGACCCCAACAGCCAAAGACAATGACGGACAACTTGTATTTCCTGCGCGACAACGCTGGGCGTGCGCGCAGATTCAGCAGCATTTGAATGAGGAAAGATGGACGAGATTGACGGTGGACACCAAAACAGATGATGAGCCCCGACGGGGAATAATAAGTGGGGGAAAGGAGCCCACTGTGGTGCCTCTCCCACCTTCCCCTCTGCAGGTTCACATCCCCTCCTTTTCGTACAACCCATCCTGCAGCATCTTCCCCCCGCATCACCCGTGTGAGGTGATGCGAGCGCATTTCAACCGCCATAATCATGGTGCTGGTGAGTGGGTGGTGTTGATGGTGCTGGTGAGAACGAGGCGCTGTATGGGAGGGCGCACCTAGGATGAAATGGGTCGCTGCAAGATAGGAGGGCACGCACGGTCGGAAAGGTGGTGTGGCCCTAGTGCTGTGGGAAAAGCGGACCAGGGGAAGTGGGGGATTGGATGGGGGGAAGTGGGGGATTGGACGGGGGGAAGTGGGGGATTGGACGGGGGGACGTGGGGGATTGGACGGGGGGACGTGGGGGATTGGACGGGGGGACGTGGGGGATTGGACGGGGGGACGTGGGGGATTGGACGGGGGGACGTGGGGGATTGGACGGGGGGGAGTGGGGCATTGGATGGGGGGAAGTGGGGGATTGGACGGGGGGACGTGGGGGATTGGACGGGGGGACGTGGGGGATTGGACGGGGGGACGTGGGGGATTGGACGGGGGGGAGTGGGGCATTGGATGGGGGGAAGTGGGGGATTGGATCGGGGGAAGTGGGGGATTGGACGGGCGGGTGTGGTGGAAAGGAAAGGGTAGTGCGGGGAAGGACGAGGTGGAGGGGGGGAAAGGGAGGGTAGGACTGGGGGACAGGGAGGGTGTTTGTAGGGGAAATAGAGATCGCTGGGTGTAGAAGGGGGTGAGCAAGTGTGGAAGAGAGTGAGCCGTGTGTTGAAGGGGGTGAGCAAAGGGGGAAAGAGAATGACCAGGGTGGTGAAGGGGGTGAGGAAAGGGGGAAAGAGAGTGCGCAGGGTGTAGAAAGGGGTGAGCAGGGTGTAGAAAGGGGTGAGCAGTGGGGGAAAGAGAGTGAGCAGGGTGGAGAAGGGGGTGAGAAAAGGGGGAAAGTGAGTGAGCAGGGTGGAGAAGGGGGTGAGATTAGGGGGAAAGAGAGTGAGCAGGGTGGAGAAGGGGGTGAGCTAAGGGGGAAAGAGAGTGAGCAGGGCGGAGAAGGGGGTGAGCTAAGGGGGAACGCAAGTAAGCAAGGGTTAAGGAGAGGGAAATATACCACACAGGGAGCAAGGGAGTGAGCAGAGGGGAAGAGTGTGTTCAAGGGGCAAGGGAGTGAGCAGGGGAATGAAGGGGCGAGCAAAGGGGGAAATGGACCACACAGGGGGAAAGGGGGAACTTGTGGTGACGGGGGGGGGGAAGTGGAGGCGACGGGAGGGGGAAGTTGAGGTGACGGGAGGGGGAGGTTGAGGTGACGGGAGGGGGAACTGGAGGCGACGGGAGGGGGAAGTGGAGGCGACGGGAGGGGGAAGTGGAGGCAACGGGAGGGGGAAGTGGAGGCGACGGGAAGGAAAAGGGAAGGCGATGGGAGGGGGAAGTGGAGGCGACGGGTGGGGGAAGTGGAGGCGACTGTAGGGGGATGTGGAAGCGACGGGAGGGGGAAGTGGAGGCGACGGGAGGGGGAAGTGATGGCGACAGTAGGGGGAAGTGATGGCGAAGGTGGGTGCCTTGAAGATGGTCAAGTGGCGTCGCTATTTATTGAGCGAAAGTGAGGTTTCCCACGTAGTGCCATATGACGTTATCCGCGCTGGCATTCAGTGTTTGATATTCCGCCGCATTCCGATGCTTTCAGAATGCGCCGACGTTCGTGCCGTGTCTACGGCTTTTTCGTACCTTCGGGAAGCATCCTTTCCAGGGCGACGGGCCATATTCCCTATCTCGCCGTCTCGAATGAAGTGGTTCTGTTTGTTGATGACGGTCATGTGACGTTTTTTATCTCAACTGCAACCTTTATGGCTGTCGTAATGCTAAGGATTTGGCAGTTTTATCATCCGCGACGCAAGTGTGCTTGCTCGTGCCGCCTACTGTAGTTGGCTGCTGTATGCAGTATCAAGTACTAGCGGGCCTCATGGTTGGTTGTCGAAAGCCTAGGTCATGGTGTTGTGTGTGTGGCAGCGCAAGAGCTGCGGAAGTGTTGTGTTGTGTGTTTTTTGGTCGCGGTGTGTGGTGCGCCGTGCGACAATTTCTATTGGCTGGTTTTCTATTGTTTGACTCGGCTGTTCGCTAAACAATTCGCGATTTCGCTTACTGGGTGTGCCTTCTTTCGGCTCCCAACTTTCACTTTCACACCCCTCGCCACCCGTTGTTCCCCTGGGCCAAGTTTTAAAAACTTGTGCAATTTGGGCGAACGGCTTTAATGACGACAACGACTTTCCCTTTTGCCCTCTCCCCGAATCCGTCTCTCCCTCCCTTTCTCCCTCTTCCTCTTGGAATCTCTGCACTCCTTCCTTCCCACCCCTCCCTCTCTCTCCTTCCTTCCCGCAGTCAGAGGTTGAAGGACAAGGGAGAGAGGGGGAAGGACAGAGGGGGAGAGACACAGGGGGAAGGCACAGGGAGGCGGACATAAGGGGATAGACAGAGGGAGAATGACACATGGGGAGACAGAACAGTTTGGGCTGACGCCGTGGGTTTAGACACAGGGGGAAGGACAGTGGTGCGGCAAGAACGAAGGGGAAGGACGGCGGTGGAAAACAAAGGGGTAGGGACGGAGAGGGAGAGACAAAAGTCGAGTCGTAAACACCGAATCCCTCCTCTCTGCTTGCCCCCTCCCTCCTCCCAGCGCGCCCCCTCCCTCCTCCCTGCTTCCCCCATTCATCCTCCCTGCTTGCCCCCTCCATCCTCCCTGCTTGCCCCCTCCCTCCTACTTGCCTCCCCCATCCCTCCTCTCTGCTTGCCCCCAACCCACCATCATCTCTCCCCTTGCTCACCCAACCCACTCAGGAGATCTGTGTGCTCGTATGCAGCGGCCGGCGCTGTTGTTTGGGGAGGTGGGTCCAGAGCACCTGCCGCTCTTACAGAAGCATGGTTTTCCCATGTTTATGCGTACAGAAGCATGAGGAGCAAAACTCCACGCAGATAGCGACAGCACTGATTGCTACTGGGGTTGGCATTAGTATAACTTGTCGCATGCATGGTGGACCGGCGCCTGTTCGCAGGGCTAATTTGGGTCGCATCGCACGTGTAACTGCCTAAATTGTCTATTGCAACTATAATATGTGCAAGCGGGCCTTCAAGCGATCGATATGCAGATTGGCACAAACACCTCAAGCATGGCATGTTCAAGACCACAATAGCGAAGTGGTGCTGTAAACACAAACCATTCACTCATCCTGACCTGCCACCCACACCTCCACCTCCTCCCCGTCATAGCGGCCTTCTACCCACCACTCATCACTATTGTCGCTCCACTCTTCCACATCCGATGGGGTTTCAGCCACATCCCTCTCACAGTGGTAACCTGCAATCATCGCCAATGAGAAGGATGATAAGCCATATTTGCTGGTGGTGTGTCTGTCACTAAACCTAATCTCATCCCGCTCACAACGGCAGGGCATGGCAGTGGTAGGGCCTACCTGGGGTGGGGGGGACAAGGGCGGGGCGGGGCCTGACAGGGCAGGGCAGGGCAGGGCAGGGCATGGCATGACATGTATGGATGGAGCAGACCAGGGTGGGGCGGGCCATAACAAGGCATGGCAGGGCATGGCCCCTCTAGGCAGGGCATGACATGCATAGAGGTTGCAGACGGGACGGGGCAGTACAAGCCAGGGCAGGGAAGGGCAGGACAGGGCAACTCATGTCTTGGGAGCAAACCAGGGCGGGGCGGGCCTGCACAAAGCAGGGCAGGGCATGGCCCCTCTAGGCATGGCATGGAATGCATATAGAGTGCAGACAAGGTTGTGAACGGGGCAAGACAGGGCAGGGCAGGGCGGGGAAGGGCATGACAGGGCACAGCAACATGGAAATGGCCGCCCATGTCCTGGGATGGCATTGCATGATTAGAACGAACAATGGCAGTGCGTGCTTGGACAGGGAAGGGCATGGCATGGCATGCTTAGTGATAGCAAACAAGGATGGGATGTGGGGGCCAAAACACGGCAGGGTCCAAGCATGGCGTGGCTTTATGGTTTGGCATAGGGCGTGGGGTGTTAGTCAAATACCTTGGGGGGTGTGGGTTGTTGTGGTAGGCGACATTGTGGTTATGTGTGATGCCGAGCAAGCCTCGCGCGGGTTTGACAGCTCGCTAGATGTTTCAGGCGTCTCTTCAACATCTACACTATCTCCAAATCGCAGTGATCGCTGCCATTCCTCCATGATGCGGTCAACCCAACCCCAATCTATCGGGGTCAAAATGCGCTCCTTGGATCCGCGTCGGATCCTCGTCACCTGCCGGACTCTCGTGCGATAGGCGGTCACCAAACGATCCATGCCGTGATTCCAATGAAGAACCGCGAGACCGACTCGTGCCGGGAAACTGCCCTGAAACCTAATCCGCTTTGGTGCGTACTTGATGATCAAAGAATGAAACGACTCGTTGAGTGAACTCGATGCGCCATGCACAAACAATTCCACCTTCTCAGGGCTTAAGTGCTTAGAGAACCACGCACGAACCGCCTAGTGTGTCGATGACCCAAACTCGTAAATGGCATGGTCCTTGCCCCACCCCTCTCTGATGCAGCGAGGTGGGGTATCACCTACCCCAGAACATCCGGAGTGGTCACCTGTCCAGTGGTTGGGTGGGCTCCCAAGCTCCCTCGCCACGTCGGCAGGGGTCATAGGATGCCCCTCTTTCTTCTTCGCACCACATCGCATCATCACGTGATAGAAATGAGAGGATAAGCATTGTGCCACATTTTGTTCTTCCTTGCCAGAATCGATCTGATCTTCACCTCGTTTCCGCTTTCGGCGACCAGTCCACCGAGGTAGTGTCTCGGGCTCGCAGAACGCATTCGGGTTCTGCACTTCGGTATCAGCTCCGCCTCCATCAAGCGCATCTGTGAATGTTAGAGAATGGAAGCCAAGAACTGAGTATGGAGATGCACTTGGATCAAGCATGCTCAAAACTTGGGAAGAGGGTGCTCGCATACCGGTCCCCGTGTCTAGGTTGGCCCAAGGAGTGGATCCACCGATGAAATGGGAGTTTCCGTTCGCGCCCGCGTGCGCAAGCATGATGAGGGTGCTCCCACGCATCAGCATCAGAAGCACCCGGCACCTCACCGTAGTTCACAGGCACCTCCACCGTACTACACTCCCCCCCCATCTGCACCACCTTTCTTAGCTCAGGAAACTTCCATTTCGCCTCTTCCGGGGTCATCTTCTTGTAAACAATCGTGCCCATGGCTTCACAAACTGCTTTCACCAAAGCCTCTTTCAAAGAAGCTTTCGCCTGCTTCGCCAACCCCCGTGCTGTCAGCCATTGCCGTAGCCCATTGATAGTCGCAAGCCATAGATCCTCAACGCAGCTCGCCTTGTCCACCGCCATTGGTGCACGGACCGCATCCTGGAGTTCTTTCAGAAGCAACTTGTACAGAGTCCGCTTCACATGCCACCAGTCCACCTGGTGGTTCAATCCCCTTTCGGACGCTGCGCCACGAAAAGTAGTCCCTTGGTCAGAGATGATCCCCTCCACCACAAATCCTTTCTGCGCCAGTTCATCTAACCCTTTATTGAAAGCCACCCTTTCCAGCCGCACCGCAGAAGTGTCGTCCACCCCTTTTCGTGTCGTGGCACAGTACATTATCTTCCTAGACGGTAAATCTAAGAACGATATTGTACACCACTCTCCCTCACGAACATGTGACCATCGACCATCGACCACTACATATTATGTAGGGACTTCTCGCTTCATCATCTCTTCTCGTACAGCAGCCATAGACTTATTAGCCTCTCTCAGTATAGCATTCCATAGCCCATTATCATCACCAAGGTACTTGTAAAAAGTGCCCCTTCCCCGGTGCTGGCAAGCCGAAGTTGCGACAAAACTCCCACATTTGTTGGTACCCCATTCTGGCTAAAGCGAATGCACCGACAAATTTCGACTGTAGAATCGGAGAACGCGCGCCTACACCGGTCCGTGCTTTCTCTATACGCCGACTCGGACATGACCAGAACTCTACACCATGCGAGCATGCGTCACATCTCCAAAACATGCCGACCGAGGCCCATGAGAATTTCCATGATCGTAAGGTCATACCCTCACTACACGCGCGCTCATGTGAACACACCAGTCGACACCCTTGGAAGAACCCAACCAACTGTCGTGGCTCGACAAGACATACCCGCTGCTTGTCGATGTCATCCACGCTCGGAGCAGAAGGCCAGTGCCTAGGGACACTCCCACGCCCAACTGCCCGTCGGTGGCTGTTGGCAGGCCTATATGACTTAAAAGGCGGGGGGAGTTTGGACATGGGTACAACAACATGTAAGATAGTGCACTATGAAACGAAGTATGCATAGCCCCCTCACCCATTAATCTCACCCCTGCACTGGCCGTTCTGGAGTCGTCGTTGAACACGGTGTGGGCGCAGTCACCGCAGTATCTCCATGAGCTCTGGCTACGCCCTCATCAGCATCCATGCCTGCACCCTCCACAACCCCCACGTCTGGCGCATCTGACGGTTCGGTCCTCACGACGTTGCCACCCCCTCCATGGTTAGCCCCTGTATCATATTGGGCAAGATGAATGATAAACGGTCATTACTCAAGTACGATACAAGCACACATCATATGCGTCTTCTAGATCTTACATGAATTGCGCATCGCCGCAAATGCCGTGCCACGTCTAGCCCCTCCCCATGATCGACCGGAAACCTGTCGCGGTCTTCCGCGCTCATCATACTGCACCAGCGG